AAATTAAGGGTTTTGAAAAGCTTGTAAAATGTAGCTCGCTTAAAAGTAGACAAATATGGATCATCGTTGACTTCCTATAAAACCTTATCGATTGTTGGAAGTTAATTTCTAAAGAAGAATTGATGTACTTTGCGCCTTATTGCATTTTTATCAAAATCATCCACAGAGCCACTAATTTGTTTATAACGTAGCTTCCTTTTTGGTTCAGAAAATTTATGAATCTGCCTATACTCCTTCATAACATTAAAAACGGTTTTAGCGCACATCCCTGTTTTATCAGCAACTCTCCTTGCAACATCATGTATGAGGGTTCTATAAAATTTAATGCTTATAAATATTAAGAACCATTTCTTTAGTACGGATGACCAAATGTCCCTTTTTCGGTCGCTTTTTAGAAGAAGTAAAAACATTTTTCTGGACTTCATCTGCTATATCTGTGGAGGAGATAGTGTCACGCAGCAGTTACAAAATATGTCCATAAAATAGAGTAAAAAATGTTCAAACTAACAACAACCACAAAAACAAAAAAAATAAATAACACAATATATGTATATCTAAACTATAATATAATGAATTATAATCAATCAAACATACAAAATGTCCAAACTAACCAACACGGTGAATGCTACCAAAACGCCGTTTATAATTATCCAAATTGAACTGAATGCGACTCTGACAAAAAATATTTGCGCGCCTTCTAAATGACTAACGACCGATTAACCAATAGAAGCGCAAAAAAAATGTCACGTGAGCTGTTGCTGGATGGGAGAGATTGTTTTGACGCGGCGTAAATGAAATCTGAATAGACTTTAACCACATTTTAATATTATTTTTAAAAGTTATTATGTAACTATAAGTTAATAATTTTGTTTAATATACGTATATTATTAAGGTTAGTTTAAATTAAATACATGCCGTATAGAAAAAGGTCGTATATTCGTACCTTTTAACATTTGATTAATAATGTAAACCAAATACTCGTATCTACGTTATTTTAATAATATTTATTCAAGTATATTTAAATATCATTTTAAAACGTTGTTATGTAATTGTAGTTCTACCGAGAGTTAAAAATTTTGTGTAATATACGTTTAATAATAATTAGTTTAACTTACGTAAAAGTCGTAATAGAAACGTTATTATATCGGAAAACTTGAACGTTCGGTTTATATTTTTAACTAAAAATAAACGCTATTTTAGTTATAATTAGTTAACTATATTTTAATATTTTTTAACGTTGTTATGTAACGGAAAGTTATAAAGTTTTGTTAAATATACATAAAAAATTAGTTTAAATCAAATATAATTCTTGTAGGGTGGGTTGTAAAATAGGTAGTTAAAATTAAATCTTAGTTTACTCTGAGAACCTCGTTCTATATTAATCGGTTATTGTTACTTTAAATATAACCATTAAAAATTAAACTCCTGTTAACTAAACTCAGTTTACAGCAGTCTTTTTGAAGCCCGCCCATAGAAAACGTTTTTGTATTAGAACCTTTTAACGGTTGGGTTTAACTATATTTTAATGTTATTTTTTTAACGTTATTATATATTTGCTTTGGTGAGCTTAGGGAGCTCACACATCCTTACAACAGCGAGTGTTGCTCCTTCTCATGTTTTTAAGGTTGGTACCTTGGTTTTTAGCCATTCCAACGTCAGGTCATCGTCGCACGTTACTCTGATGATTTCACCTGAATGCGTTCAAGACCTGAATATGGGTGGCTTGGTTTTGCTGCAGGAGGCGGACAAAATTTTTTTGTCCAGCTCTCCTATCCGTGTCTTTTTGACAAAGATTTCTCTTTCGGTAGTTAACTACCCGAAAGAGTTATCCTTGTCTAATATAGCTACATTCAGGTGGCTTGTAGCTGCATCCTTGTAGCTTACCCCTGATAGTACTTTGTGGTCCTGTCTGGGTTTTTTACTTCCGGGGCGTTACCTCGGAGGTGGTGTGAAATCTGGGCCTTTTCTTCTCCCTAGTTGCGTCGTGTTCCTGGCGATGGCCTCTTGTGGAGGAAGAACTAGCGTTGCTGCCTAAGGACTTGATTAAGCTTTTGTTTAGTTTGGACTGAGGGAGTCTGTGAGGGTGGCGGTTGCCGTAGCACTGCCTGTCTGCAGCTTATTTTTTTTCCTCCTCTTTGCATTAGACCCAGAGATTCTCTTGCCTCTCCGGGGCCTGTAACTTGGAGGTGATCTACTGTGTCCATCCTCCTTTTTTTGGAGGTGAGCGCTGTCCAGCCTCTTGTGCAGGAGCTGAACTTTATTGTCTAGGCTCCGTTGCAGGAGGTGAGTGTTGACGTCCATACTCCATTTTTTGAGGTGATCGTCGCTGTCCAGCCTCCTGCGCTGGAGTTAGACTTTGTTGTCCAATCTTCTTTGCTGGAGGTGAGCGTTGACGTCCAGCCTCTTTGGGTTCTTGGTTTTGTGTTTGGGTATCCATATGGTTCTAACGAGTGGATATGGAAGGAAAGGTCGACCGACGCAGAACCTTGCTTACGCTGGCAAGGCTAGATACAAGAGGGTGTCGCCAGGTTCCCCAGAGAAGCGTTTGCTGCCGTATCTGCCCCTGCGACAATTCATCCTTAGGCACGTTACCTTACACCTTAGATTGGGGGAGTTGATTGGCGGCGGTAGCCTTCGCAAAATATTTTGAGGGTTTTTAGGCTCTCTTACTCTACTTATGTCTACCACTATCCTGTCTCTTGGAAAAGTGACATGTGTGAAAATCAATTCGGGGGATTTGATATGGAAATTTCTAGATGACGTCATAAAGTTCAAATTGGAGATAGCTCTATCGGGAATGGGAATAAAAATTTTTAATAATGTAGTTGTAGTTGTGACGATTTATTAATTGTCAGCAGGAAAATAAATATCAGATAAGAATTTTAAAAAGTCAGAGTGGGAGAAGGAAACATATTGGAATTGAAATAGTCAAGAAATAAATAAATAAAATTAAAGTTTTTTGACAAATTTATTATCAACATTAAATATTGAAGGGAGAGATGAGCAGAGACTATAGAGAAAAATATACAGGTAGAGACAAGAATACAGGTATAAGCCGACAGGTAGAGATGACAGAGACAGGCAAAGACGGTAGAGACAGGCAGAGGTGAACAGTGAACAAGACGAGAAAGAACAGAAGCAAGTAATTATTTTTTTATTTTTATATATTTTGAACCCACCCCGAAATTAACATTTATTTTATTGAAAACCAAAGGGGATTCCTATAACAGTATCCACTTGTAGATTTTTTTTTAAACCTTTATATCAAAATACTACAAAATAAAGGGCAGAAAGATTAACCGATCTGTAAAAATTATATTATGATAAATAAAATGTTGCAACGTTTATTTATTTAGAACTGTTAATTATTTATAAATTATTTATATTAAATACTAATTAATTTATTTATATAAAAACACTATTTATATTTCAGATTTCTAATTTGAAATAGTGTCTACCTATTTTCCCTCACAACCCAAACAAACTCTGTTGAACAGAAGTCGAAAACTATCGATAGCGCTATCGATAGTTTTCACTATCGGACACTATCGATAATTTTTTATAAACTATCGATAGTATTCGATAGTAACTCTTAATAGAGTCGCCAAAGAAGGTAATTGAGCTTCAGTGTCCGAACGCACCTATAATATACAGTAACAAAACTATCAGCGTTGGCAAGCCTGTTTTTTTACTGCATGTTTATGAGATTCACCAAGGTTCTGAATTTGAATTTGGGATTCACAGAGAAATGAATGTATTTATGTGAATATTAATGTTACAAAGTTAAAAGTTAGAGTATTGTTAATGTGTGCATATAGTATTAGTATATGTTATATCTCTGTTTATTGTTGGCAACGGAAAAATCTGTTTTTTTTTAATATTTGAATTTGTACGGAGCTAAAATGGATAAATTTTTAACGAAACCCAGTAGCAGCAGTTCAAAAGGTACTTATTTATACTTGAATTAATTTGCTTTTCATGGTTTTAATAACATATACAGTGTTACAGGGTGTTCATCACTAACTGATGTATTAATGAGTTCATTACCCCATCCTATAGAAAGTAATGAATCTGATAGTGAAAATAGTGAGTGCAGCATTAGTAAGAAACCAGAATCTCAAAGAAATAAAAGAAATAAAATTTCCCCCGTCTGGAAATACTTTAAAAAATCCAGTGACAAACAGTTTTCCAAATGCATAATATGTGGAAAGGAATATAAAACTAGTGGCAATACCAGTAACTTATCAGATCACTTGAAACGGTTTCATCCTACGGCTTTAAATGGCTGTGATAAAAATGAACAAGGACTAAGTTCACTTGTAAGTGGTACGAGTTCGACCCAATCAGTACCATCTATTTCAACATATTTTAAAAGAGAATTTAATTACGACAGCTCATCTCAAAGAAAAAAAGCATTAGATAATGCTTTGTTCAAAATGATTGCCCTGGATTTACAACCATTTTCGATAGTAAATGATGAAGGTTTTAAACAATTTGTAAAACTTTTAGACCCTAGATATGAATTACCAAGTTCATTTACATTAAGTAATAAAATGCTTGAAGATACGTACCTGAAACTTTATAATAAATTAAAGCTAGAACTTCAAAGTATAAAATATGTATCTATTACTTTTGATGCCTGGGCATCTTTGGCTACAGAATCTTATGTGACAGTAACTTGTCACTATATTGATGATAATTATTGCCTCAAAAATATAGTATTGTTAACAAAACCAATGAAGGAAACGCATCATACTGCAGAAAATCTTTCAAAAACTTTGACAGACATTTTTGAAGAATAGAATATTAATAAAAAAATAGTATGTATAGTAACCGATAGTGCAGCAAACATGATAAAAACATGTAGTCTGCTACAAAAAAGACATTTACCCTGTTTTCCACACACCATTAACTTGGTAGTACAAGATTGTTTGCCATCTGTTGAGAGTATTCTCAAAAAGGTAAAAAATAAAGTGACCTACTTTAAAAGTTATGTTGCCATGGACACATTCAAAAAGGAACAATTTACTACCGATTCTAAAGAGCCACTAAAATTGCTGCAAGAAAACTCAACAAGGTGGAATAGCAGTTTTTACATGATCAAGAGGATTAATAAAGCCAGTGAAGCCCTTAATCGATCTCTATTACAATTAAATAAAGCTCCTTCTCCACTTTCATTAAAAGAATGTACCACATTAAAAAAAATAGAAACAGTACTTTCCTGTTTTGAAGAGGCTACAATAAAAATTCAAGGTATTTAAATTAAAATTACGCTTATTCATACTTTTGATTTATTTTAATTTTTTCAGGAAATAATTATACCACAATCTCCTTAATAATACCTCTTACATTTGGAATATTTACATATTTAACAAAGAAACTACTTGATTTGACAACAGAAGATGTGAGAAAACTATGTTTAAATCTACTGGAATCTGTAAAAACACGATTATTTTTATATGAAACTCGATCAGTTACCAGATTGGCTACTATATTGGACCCTCGGTTCAAAAAAGAAGGCTTTAGGAGTAGCGACAATGCTAATGAAGCAAGTTCCTTGCTAGGACAAGAAATGTTAGGCATATTAAAAAAAAAAGAAATGAAAACCAAGCATCTCAGATTGAAAATGAAGATTCAATATCCAAATGCAAATGAGAGTCTTCTAAACTTGAACTCTTTAGATTTTTAGAAGAAAGAATTAATGCAAAAGAGAAGTCTTTAACAGCTGACACAATAATAACCAAAAGACAATGGGTCGTATGATTGAACGTTTACGTTATCCGTAACGTACATGTTAGGCCGAGTTTTAACAGTAACAAGGCAAGTTCGTACAATGGAAAACTTTTTCCAACACATTACTGTTATTTTCCGTCTGTTATGTTCTAATTTAACAGGTTTCCATCATAAGAACTTGCCTCGTTACTTTTAAAATTTGGCCTAACATGTACGTTACGGATAACGTAAACGTTCAATCATAGGACCCAATATCTGGAAAGACCAAATTCAACAAATGATATCGATCCTCTAGCATATTGGAAGGTAAATTAGATTTTATAAAAAGGTATACATTTTAATGTATTTCAAATATTTTTAGGAATGAGGTATAACACTGAAATCGCTTAGTGAATGTGCTCAAAAATTTTGTTGCATCCCAGCCACTTCGGCAGAAAGTGAACGAGTGTTTAGCACTACTGGACAAATTGTTGCACTGCGGCGAACACGGTTAAAATCTAAAAATGTTGATATGCTAACATTTTTAAATAAAAACTTATAAATACCTTGTGCCATTTCTGTATTTGTATTCAGACAATAAAAACACTTATTTGTTTAGTTTTCAATAAATTTACGTTTATGTAGTTCAGAGTTTAATGAATAATAATCAGTATTTTTAAAATTCTACTATACTGAACGAGACAAATTCTTATAAATCTTAAAATTCATTAGACTATTAGGCAATCGAAATCACGTGAATTTAAATGGTGGGTGCTTAGCAAAAACAACAAAAGAAAGTGTTTCCCGTACCGTGACAAAACCACTTTTAGTGAGGTTATGTAATATTGTTTTGGAGTGTTTAATTGAAAAATGGCATAAACTCATATTTATTAAGAATATATGAATATTAAATGTATGATTTACAATAAAATATTAATGAAAAAGTCACGTTAACACACTTTGTTGATTTTCCAAGCATCTGCGCCATTTTTGAATTTTTGTCTATTCTGACAGGATTGCATAGGACGTGCTCACTATCGATAAATATCGATAATTATCGATAGTCTGTAGCCAACCTATCGAATACTATCGATGGTCAAGACTATCGATAGTTCTCGACCTCTGCTGTTGAATTCGGACTCTATGAAATATATATGCTCGAAGGTCCAAAGACATTACAGTAATGTCTTTGAGGGTGTCGGTCCTCTCTCTTGCACCGTATAGTAATCAAAGTATGTGGCGCGGCCATTTTGATTCCTATGCCACAGCTTATAGCTAAAGAATCAGATAGCTCACTCTCCGTCGGTACTTTTGTTCTCAATGTTCCTGTTTATACACTGCGCAACTCGGATAATACAATATATCACAACCGACTATAATAAAACAGCAGTCTTCTGCGTATCCTGAATTTGTATCCCTGGAGTGGATGTTATTTTGGAACTTTCAACTGGTCCGAGTGAGCTAGCTGATTCTTTAGCAATAAACTGTGACTCTAAAAATAATATTCACTGATACTGACAGCAAAATATCAGGTGCGTTTTAATCATCCGCTTCTGCTTCGGAATTGTCGATTTTCTGGTTTTAATCTGACACCTATTAAAAATATTGCTCCAAGATGTAGGCAACACGTAATAAGGGATCAAAATGGCAGAGTTATCTATCTCCTTTTAGAAGGCACTCAGAAAGCTGCAAATTACGACCGCCATCTGATAACAAAATGAAATATGCTCCAAAGACATGTAACAATATTGTACTTTACCAAATTCTCTATCTTGAGCAAATTGGTTAAAACAAATTATTTTATATTCAAAAATCACATAAGACATGACAGCGATAATTGTGTTTTCCCTGAAAATTACAATTCTAATTTATTGTGAACGTAGCTTTTAAACCTGAATTATTAATAGTTTTACTTACCTTTTAAACCATGTGTATGTATGAAAGGAAAAAGGATGCCATTGTATAAAGCATTTGCAGAGATAGTCAATAATAATTACAAACTCTTGTTAGACAATTCTTATAAACCAAATTTAAAGTAGTTTTTTTTTGTCGTTTCTATGGCAACCTGTAAAAATGAATCATAACAAAAGGCATACAAATAAATTTATAAACCAGCAAAAATTGAATTATATTTTTAATGATTTTTACTTACTAATCGTGTGTAGATGTTTTTGTGCAATGTTAAGAGGAAGAAAATGTTTCCCGTTAACGATATATATCAAGATAAGAGAAGGTTTAGTGCGGTGAAAAAATGTAAAAGATAAAAGGATTATTGGGCAAATACCGCAAATACCGCAAAAAAATGCCTAAAGGCAAACCGTAGACACGTGTTTCTGACTATTGGTCTTCATCAGTACGGTGCAGCCAAGTTCAAAAGAGAATGGAACTAGCGATGAAATCAAATCAATAGGAGATCACTCAAGAAACCAACCACACATTTGTGGATGCATCTTCATAGCGGCTATAACTTACCTCCGTGGCGACGCTAATATTTTCCTAGTAATCACTGGGAATGTTAGCACAGTCCACAAATGTGTGGTTGGCTTCTTGAGTAATTCTCCTATTGATTTGATTTCATCGCTAGTTCCATTCTCTTTTGAACTTGGCTGCACCGTACTGATGAAGACCAATAGTCAGAAACACGTGTCTACGGTTTGCCTTTAGGCATTTTTTTTTTATTTTTTGCGGTATTTGCCCAATAATCCTTTTATCTTTTATATCAAGATATATTTGAATATGTTATTATCTGGAAAACAAAACAGAGTTAGCAAACAAAATTAGCGCTGTCATGCCTTATGTGATTTTGTGAATATAATTTTTTTTTAACCACTTTGCTCAAGATTGGGATTGGCACAGTTGCCATTTGGTAAAGTACAATGTTTTTACAAGCTTTTGGATTATATTTTATTTCATTATCAGATATCGGTAAACATCTGCAGTGGGCTCTTGAACTATTATGATTTGATTCTGTATGCTCCAAGGATAAAAATCCGAGTTGCGCAATGTAAAAATTGGAACATTGAAATCAAAAATGCCGACGCAGAGTGAGCGAAATGATTCTTTAGCTATAAACTGTGGCGATAATGGCAGTGATGAAGGTTAACAAAGAACGGTGTTGGACTGGTTGCACGAAAATGTATTTAAAAAAATAAAATTTTCCTAATTTTTTTTTTTTTCAGAATAACAAAAAGATTGCTTTTACCGGGAATTGAACCCAGGTTACGAAATCCAAAGTTGAGTCCTAATCAAGTATGTGACACTAAACTTTTCTACAACGAATTTTTAAGATATCTTTCTCGAGCGCTTCAACAATGCAGGGAAATACAGCAAAGTACCTATTTTCGTGTTTTACATGGTAAGAATGAACGAAAAATTTATAATTTTGTCTTGTGCAAATAGCCCAACTGAAAGTATCACTGGCTCCTCAATACTATTTGTCCTGTTTGCGATCTTTTTTTGTTATGTTGTATTTAGGTAATTGACTATTTTTAATTGCATCGTTAAGTAGGTATATCTAAATTAATTAAAAGATCAATATTATTGTTAGCATTTCAAAGTTAACATATTATATAATATCTATCATTAATTATATAGCAACACATTTGAATGAATAGTCAGAGCTAGTAAGTAATAAAAGTCCGATAAAGAATATCATGCAATTAATTTTAATCTAAAATACATTGTTCACTATGGCAATCATTTATACACATAGGTGTAGAGTTGGTCGCCTGAAATTATTAGTTTTTTGTCTGTTAGACAATAATGGTTATATCTATGGACAATAACGAGAGAAGAGTCGAACATTTTTTAAATAAATGTAGGTAATTATTATTTGTGAGGGAGAATGAAAATATTTAAAAATGATATTTTTTCTAGTATTAGATATACCATACATATATGATAAATATTAGATAAAGGAAAGCATAAATTCATTATTAGTTAAATAATCAATAATATTAGAAATTCCCGAAACAAGTCGATTTTTGATTTTAATTTACTATTTTTTTCAAATTATAATCTAATATACAGGATGAACGACCATCGTGTGATGACGTCATCACCATTTTTTTTTAAATGGAACCCCCCTTTTTTCAATTTCCAGATTTCCCTTACTGAGCTGATTCCAAAAATGTATAACATGTTGCTTTAAATTGGTACAGAGTGGGCAAAAATAAAAAAAAATTATAAAAATTATTTATGGAAAGTTATACGTTACTGAATGTAATTAACAAATTAAATGAAATTATGTAGTTAGGCAATTACTGTGATACACTTCCAAAAACAAACAAACGAAAATTTACAATAAATGTTCAAATTCTTCCACATTCTGTAGCATAGCGGGTGTTATGTTCTGTATTTCTTGTCTAATTAGGTCTTGTAGTTGACGAATATTTCCAGTTTTTTTGTGTAGACTTTAGATTTTAAGTAACCCCATAAAAATAAGTCTAATGGGCTCAGATCAGGTGATCTAGCGGACCATTCTACTGATCTTCTTCCTATCCACCGTTGTGGAAAAGTTCTGTTTAAAAAATCACGCACAGTTACTGCGAAATGTGGCGGTGTGCCATCCTGTTAAAACCAGATCCTGCGGTCTAAATTACTGGGTATTTAAATATCAGGAAACAGCTGGATCAGATCAGGAATTAATGTATTTTGTAGGAAATCCAGATGTAATGCTCCTGTTAAATTTTCATCAAAACAATATGGACCAACAATTTTATTTCCCACAATACCAGCCCATACGTTTGTTTTTTAAAATAAAACGTTATCAATGAAATAGTTATTTTGGTTCATTATATACTCACAGAATTCAATTTCAAAGTCGTCTTCAGCCAATTCATGGATAAGACGTACTTTATAAGGATAGTATTTTACCTTTTTAAAAATGTTTGATACTGAAGACTTTCCAATACCAAAATCGTGAACGCATAGCTCATCCTCATTGATTTGGCCTTTAGGGTTCCCATGTCTTCGTCT